TAGCTAAAAGCAAGAGAGCTTTTAAAATCTCAGAGATATCTGTATATTCATGTTCACTACAGCATTATTCACAGTAGCTAAAATACAAAAGTAACTGAGATGAGCAATTAAGCAAAATGTGGCATATAAATACCATGAAATATAATTCATTCTCAAAACGGAGGAAAATTCTGACATGTGCTATAATGTAGAAATGACCTTGAGGACATTATGCTAAGTGAAATAAGTCAGCACAGAAAAAGACAAGTACTGTATGATTTCATGTACATGAAGAAACTAGAGCAGTCAAGTTCATTGAAAAAGAAAGTAGAATAGAGGTCGCCAGAGCTGTTGAGAGCAGACAAGGGAAATATTTTTAATGGATACAGAAGTCCCAGTTTTGCGAGATGAAAAAGTTCTTAGGATTGGTTGCACAGCAATGTGGCTGTACTTAACACTAGTGAGCTATACACTTAAAACCAACTAAGATGATAAACTTTTAAATTAGAAGTATTTTATCACAATTTAAAAAAAAAAGACAAACATTAACTTAATGAAATAAAACCTAGCTATTAGTTAAACATGAGTAGCAATTAAAATTAAACACACAGAAAATTGAAAAGAAATGGAAAAAAGAAATAAAAGATGAAAGCTTTAAAAAAAGCATGTTTCATAATATTAGTTCAGACAAAACAGAACTAAAATAAAAATTATGAAATAAGATGACTTTTATTTCCTAAAGGTATAATTCACCAAGAAGATATAAAATTATGGAACTTTAAGCATCTAAAAACATAGCTTCAAAAATTCAATGTAGGGTCGTCCCTGGTGGCACAAGGGGTTACGATGCAACCTATGAAGCTGTCCGCAGCCACTGCAGCTCGAGTTCAATCCATGGCCTGCCAGGGAGCAACCCACATGGCACAGCAGACCTCTCCTGTCTCACTCTCACCTGCTGCTCCCCTCAGCAGTGTACTTCTGTCAGTCTGCCTGTTCTGTTCCCCATTCTGTCTCTGGTGAATCCTCTCACCCCCATCCCCACACCTCTGGCCTGTACCTCAGCTCTTGGATGCATAAATAAATAAATCTTTAAAAAAAAATTCAATGTAGTTTTTTAACAAAGATGACACTGAAAAAGGCCACTGACACTCCCCAAATAGAAGTCAAACCAAAATTTTGAAAGAAAGCAGCACTAAAAGACATCCACAACACACACAAAAAAGATCTGTGTGTCACCTATCTTTCAATGGTCCAAGACACAGGGGCTCTGAAGGCAGCCAAATAGCCTTAGAAGAGTGTGGTCCCCAAGAATAACAAACTCAACCACTATGCCATCATCAAGCTCCCCCAGTCACCAAGACCACCATGAAGAAAAGACAATACGCTATGCTCATGGTGGATGTCAAGGCCAATAAGCAACAGATGACACAGACTGTGATGACACTGATGTGGCCAAGGTCAACACCCTGATCAGACCTGATGGAGAGACAAGACATGTGCTTGACTGGCTCCTGACAGTGATGCTTTGAATGCCAACAAAACTGGATTCATCTAAATTGAGTCCAGCTGGCTAACTCTAAATACAAATTTTTTCACCATAAAAAAATGTTAATGTAAAAAATGATACATTTAGGTATTTGATATCCATTTACATGTAAAAATAATAGAAAGAGAACTATAATTACCACACCTGAGGGGAAAAATCCTATACTATCAAAAATTGACAAGGATATAAGAGAATAGTACTTCATTAAAAAAGAAAAAGAAACAAAACCAAAAACCACTAGGAATCATAGTAGCAGACACCTTTACTCCAACTCTCAGAAACAGTAGGTCAAATAGAGAAAAATAATGACAGAAAAAATAAATCATGACTAATAAATCTGAAATATAGAATAGTTTACCTACACTAAGGGTACAGGGGAAGGTCACTAAAACTGTTTGTTAGACTATAAATTAATTTGTTTTTAATCTTAATCTTTCAGCAATATGGCAGAATAAAAATCCCCAAACCATTCAGTTCCAAAACATCTTTCTAAAGCACTAGAAAAAAATATAAAAGTAACTTTGAAATCAATGGACCTGGTGAAACCAAAAATCAAGAATGCAGGCAAAATAAAAGGCATTTTCGGATATTATAAAAACAGAAAATTTACCATCACCGAAGGAACGTCTCAAGAATGTACTTTGGGGAAAAGGCAAATGTTCCAAAAAGGAATATCCACATTACAAGGAATGGAGAGTAAAGAAAACGGCAGATAAATCTAATAAAAATTATGTAGAAAATAATAATAACAGAAATTATGTCTAATCTGAAGCATTAAAGTAAAAATAGAGATAAGGACAAATAGGAGAGGACTAAATAAAAAGGAAGAATTAGAAGTCCATGCCTTGTTCAGACAGCCCATACTTATATTATGATAACATAAATAATCTTCATTTTCAATTCAGAATACTAAAACCTGAACAAAATAAACTCAAATTAAATAGAAAAAGATTAAGGGCAGAAATTAGTGACAGAAAAGAATCATAGGATTAACCAATAAATTCAAATGCTGCGTCTTTCAAAAAACTAATAAAATAAGCAAGCATTAAGCAAATCTGATCAATTAAAAGAGAAAAATTTATCCCCCCAAAAGAAATATATGAACATGAAAGAGAACATACTACTGATATGGTAGGGTTTATTTTCTTACAACAGAGTACTATATACATTATGCTAAAATGTATTAAAATTCAATAATATTAATAACTTTCTAGGAAAATATAAAGTATTAAATTGACTTTGAAGAAATATAAAAGCTGAGAAAAAATCAGTAACCTGGGAAAACTGAAAAGGTAGTTAAATACTGATATCAACTTCTAAAAAAAAAACCCAACAAACTGCCAGCAGCCCCAACAGTCTGCAGTCAAGTTCTGCCAAACTTCAAGGAACAGATAATTCCTCTGTTCCAGAGCATAGGAAACGATGGAAAGTTCCCCAATTTAATCAGTGAGGACAGCATAACCCTAATTATGAATTCAGACTAAAAGAGGGGAGTACATACCAATCTCACAAATATGGATATCAAAATCCTAAATAAAATGTCAGCTAATCAAATCTATCAAATAACTCAAGCATGCATTTTAAATTATCCCAGGATTTTACAGACAGAAAATCTAACAGGATAATCAACTATGTTAACTTAGGAAGAAAAAGCACATGATCATATCAATACATGCTATACAAATGCTTTTTTTTGTATATCAATACATGCTATACAAATAAATTCTTTATTAGGCATAAATGGAAACTTACTTAATATGATAGAGAATATACTTAGTTAAGGTACACTGGGAGCATTACCCTAAAATCAAGCCCAAAACAAAAATGTCAACATGTAGAGAGGGTGGTGAATGAAAGACAAGACATAAGAAGTACATACATTGAAAAGAGACAGCTGTTGTTTCTTAGAAGATTGTCTACCTAGAACAAACCAACTGAAAAACTATTAAAATTCATAGAGTTTATAGTAGGGAGGCTCAACTTCAGATCTAGTTTTGATTACCAAAACGTGTCTGCTTTGAGAGTTAATCATGCAAAGCTATTTTCTGTAGAGGAAGGTATTAGGATTGACAAGCTTTGCTCAACCTCTCCTCCCCCATCTTAAATGCTGAAATAATACCGTGTTTGAAATTGGATAACAAAAATCTTCTGAAAGCAAAATTTGTTCTGAAGGGCTGAGATGTAACTCTACTCAAAAACACTTTATCTCCTGCCTCCAGCTACCGCAGTTGCTAATGGATAAGCATGTCAACCCGTTCAACATAATTCTTCCGATAGAGGGCAAAGAAGAGCACCTTCACAGTAATGTTTTTTTCCAAACCGTATCCTGCTTATTATATAAACTTATGTACCAGCAAGCGGAGCTCCCACAAAATACAAATAAAATATTCAAAATAAAACTTCCTTTGAAAAAACAAGCACATGGGGCCTCTTGGATGGTGCAGCCGGGTGGCACAGCGGGTTGAGCGCCGTGCTGTGAAGCTGTCTGCGGCCTCTGCAGCGCGGGTTCAATCCGGGCCGGCCAGGGAGAGACCCACATGGCACGGCAGACCTCTCCTGTCGTGCCCGCTGCTCCCCTCAGCAGTGTATTTCGGTCCACCTGCCTGTTCTGTTCCCCGCTCTGTCTCTGGTGAATCCCCTTTCCCTCCTGAGCCTCTGGCCTGTACCCCAGTTCTTGTATAAAAACAAATAAATCTTTAAAAAAACAAATTTAAATTCATAGATCATGCAAACTTAAAAAAAAAAGCACATAGAACTAATCTTATTTCAAAGATATATGGAGAGGAGACTGTTCCTTTTGTACTCATGGCAGGCTCGGCAGTATTCGACCACCCTAAGAATCCAAACGGTCCCCTAGAGCTCACTAGGTGCGCGGGGCTGTGGCACCGCCAGCTGACCTGGGGGACGTCGGGACCGCGTCCTTCCCCGCTTCACTCACCCCAGGGCAGGAAGAGCTCTGTGTGGACGCCGAGGATAGCCAAGGGCTACTCGGAGCCCGAAAACACACAGCACCCCAGGGCAGCACCAGAGAAGGTGCCGGAGGCTCTGGGTACCTGCGGAGCCCCGCTTGGCGCGCCCACGCACCTGTCCCACCGCGGGGGGTCCCGGGGACGCCTCCCAGGGCCGCAGTGGTCGGAGTCACCTGGCCCTCGGTCCTAGGATCCTGCGCCAAGCCCCAGCGCTGGGAGGGGAGGCGGGTGGCCACCTGCCGCTGCCACCTGCAGCACCGGTCGCGCCCTCCCGGGCAGGGCAGAACAAAAAAGGACGTCGGTCCCGGGATGGGGGCGAGACCCCTCGGGCGGAGAGGGACAGGGGCTATCGCATGTCTTTCCTCTCAGAGGAACAGAACAGTCTTGCTCCCCCGCTCCGGGGTCCCGGCTTTAGCCCGCCAGACCTCTGCGCTAGCCCGCCGGAGCCTGGAAGACCACGCAGCTGCGGCGAAGAGGAGTCGATGGCCAGCGCGGCTCCTACTTACCGGTCAGGCTCTGTTCCCGCAGCGCCACCGCAGCCCGCAGCCGCCGCGGCTCCCCGCGCTCGCCGATGCTCTGCTGAAGGTCCCTGGGATCCCACCCGCGCGTCCCCGAGTCTCCTCTAGGGGGCGGGCGTGAGCCCACACTGAGCTCCCTGGGAGATGTAGTCTTGGAGCCTCTGCCGCTCCCCCGCCCCCCTCCTTGGCGGTCCCGCACCCGCAGCCAGGTGGTAGTCCTATCTCCGCGCTTCCTCTCTCTCCCTCAAGGGTTCACTTTCGTTATGGGTAATAATTTTGGAGCATCTTATTTGAGTGCTGGCTCCCACTCTAGATCAGTATTCTTAAAGTGTGGTAACCGAACCAACAGCTTCAGCATCATCTGGGGGCTTGGTATAAATGCAAACGCTCTATTTTACCGAGACTATCCAGTTTTCACTGCGTTAAAAAACTCGGCGCAGGGCTCAGGAGTCTGCATTTTCACAAGCCCTTCAAGTGATTCTGAAATGGACTCAAGTTAACGAACAACTGCTCTAGACACCTCCCTCCCCATGTCACACACCTACGGTATTAGTTACACACCTGACTGTAGGTCCCTAGGTACGCTGCCGAAAATTCAGAGCTTTCCAAGCTCTTCAGCTCTCATTGCCCTCAATGTCCTCCTAACATTCCTCCAGAATGCCTTTGAGACACCGGAAACTCAAGGGGGAATGAATCAAACTAGGGTCTTCATTTCCCTCCATCTGGCTCTCCTGCAGTATGCCTTATGTCCACTGCATTTGTCAACATGCAAGTCTCTTAAGGCCTTAGTGAGAGCTACAGGGACAGAAGACAGGGCTCTGAGTCATACTGGAGGGAGGGAGCATCAAAGAAGGAACGAGCAGAAGTAGGAAACAACCAACTGTCGCCCGAAGTCATGGGGAGCAACGGAGCATTATTGAAGGAGCATTTTTTTCCTAAGGAGTGAAAAACTTCAGCATGTTTAAATGTTAATGAAAAAAATCCAGTTGAGAGGGAGCTGCTGACTATACAGAAGAGAAAAGGGTATTTCATACTGTGCTATTCCTGAGACTGCTGTGTGTATGTGGAGTGGTAGGTGTATATGTGTATGTATGTGAGTGTGTGTATGGATATGTGCGGGAAGGGTAGACTCTCAGGCACAAGCGGAGGCATGAGTCTAGATCAGTGGTTCTCTTGTCTCCACCCACGTCCAGGCACATCTGAAGACCATTTGGGTTGTCATGACTCAGGGTGCTACTGCCATCTAGTGGATAGAAGTTAGGGAGGCGGTTCAACATCCTGCTGTGCTCAAGACAGCTCCCACAAGTGTCAGATGTTTATTTTATTGGAATAATTGAAAAACCAAGCTGGAGAGGAGTTTCTGATAAGAAAATAGGGATGGTGGACGATTGTCAGGTCATGTGAGGATGGATGGTTAATATGGAATAGAGGCAGGATGTTAAGTGGATTTACAGTGCTTTGAGCAGCCCGGGGTGAAGGAATAGAGTGAATTGAGAGAGGTCAAGGTCACCCACATGGATGTGGAAAATATCCACACACAGCGGACACTTGGTATTACTGTGAGTGACAGTGTTCTTCAATGAATAAGAAAGTAAAGAGATATCAGAAAGTGTTTGGGGGAGGAGGGAAGATAAAGTCAAATGATTGAAACTTAAAGGAAGCAGGACTTAGGACCAGAGTGCTGAGGTGGTGTGCTCTGATCTATAGAGAACAGTTGGTGAAAATCTGTGTTTCAATCAAGGCAGAGATGGAAAAGCAAAGCTATTCAAAGAGTTTGCGGATAGGGAAGAATTTTCAGGTGAGAGGGTGAAGTTCCAAAGAATACCAGGTCAAGATGGGAAGGGGATAGGAGGTGAGTTTGGAGAAGGGTGCAGGAAAAGGGAGAAGGGGAGCAATGGAGAGCTCCATCAGGAATAAGAGATGCAGAGCATAGTCAGACATGGGGGCAAATCTAATGTCTTAGATTTTGGAAGTTGACTGATGGGGACGGGATGAAAAATTAAGACTGAGACTGAGGACTTGCACAATCCTGCAAACCACAACTACTATATCCATATATCTGTGTACAACATGGTCTCCCCTCCTGTCAGGATGAATGAATGGACCTGGCTTCTAGCCAAGGCCAGTCGTCCCCTGTGTCCCCACCTTTGGTGTCTCCAAGTCAGCTCTCCAGTTCTTCTTCCTCACTCTTAAGTATCATCAGTTCTTCCTTCTCTCCTGGATCATTCACAACATTATATAAGCTAGTAATATTTCTCCCATCTGATAAATACTCCTTTAATCTCACTCCTCTCCAGCTACTATCCCATTTGGGGTTTTTTTTCCATTCCCAGAAAAATGCCTCAAAAATGTGCCTACCCTTGTTCACCTCTTGTCTCTTCTCCCATTCTCTTGTGAGTGCCCTCCAGCCAGACTTTTGCTCCAGTAACTCCACAAACTGTGCTTGTCAAGGTCACCAAATGCCTTTCTGTTACTACATCCATACTCAATTTTCAGTTCTTAATTCTACTTTACCTTTCAGCAGTAAATGAATGTCTTTTCTTAGCACACTTCTGATTTTCCTGCTGCTTCTGGCTGCAGCTGCTCAGTCTCCTAGCTGGTCCTGACTCATCTTCCTGACGTGTTGACCTTTGGGTGTCCCAGAACACCATCCTTAGATCATCTCCCTATCTATACTAACTCCCTTTATGACTTCATCCTATCTCATGGTTTTAAATGCCATCTATATACTGATGACTCCCACATTTTGATCTCTTGCTTGGGGGTTCTCCTTTGAACTCCAAACTCATATATCCCACTGTAACAACAGGCTTCTCAAGTGCCAGATGCTCAGAAGTAAACTACTTGTCTCCTTAAATTTTCTCCCAAAAGGTTTTCACATCCTAGTTAATGTCAAATATAGCTTGTAAGCAAAAAATTTTGAAGTCATTTTTTATGGTGAAAAAAAAATTATATTTAGAATTAGCCAGCTGGACTCAGTTTAGATAATTGCAATTTTGTTGGTAACATCCATAACATCATAGTCAGAAGCCAGTCCAATATATGTCTCCTTCTCTCCAATGGGTCTGATCAGGGTGTTGACTTTGGTCACGCTGTCACAGACATTTTTCATGGCCTATTTGATCCTGTGCTTGTTGGCCTTGACATTCACAATGAACACAGTGTGTTGTTGTCTTCAGTCTTCTTCATGGCTGACACGGTAGGAAGGGTGAAGTTGATGATGGCCTGTGGTCAAGCTTGTTTCTACCTGGGGCACTCTTCCAAGGATATTTGCACCACCTTCAGAGTCACAGTGTCTTGGGCAGCGGGAATGGTGGATGGTGTGTGGATCTTTTTTGTGTGTGGCTACGAGTACCTGTCAGCATGGCTTTCTTGGTCTTCAAAGCTTTTGCTTTTGCTTTTGTTTTGGCTTTGGGGAATGCAGGTGCTTCCTTCTTAATTTCTGCACCAACTTCATGAAAAGACAAAAATTATTCCTTTATCTTTTACACACCCTCTCCAACCTTTCTCTGAATCCTGTTGGTCCAATTTTTAAGTCTGTTTCAAATCTGATGAACTCCCATCAGGCATGTGTCCTGTTAATAATTAACCCAAGTCATCTTCCTCTCTCACTTAGATCATGGAAGCCATTTCCTCTCTGGTCTCCTTGATTCTGTCCTTGCCCACTTTAGCATAACCTTTACAGTTTTTTTTTTTAATTTTTTGTTTATTTATTTATTTATACAGGCACTGAGTACAGTCAGAAGCGCAGGAGGGTGAGAGAATTCACCAGAGCCAGAGGGGAGAGCAGAGCAGGCAGACTGACAAAGTACACTGCTGAGGGGAGCAGTTGGCGGCTGGAGAGGTCTGCGCGCCATGTAGGACACTCACCCAGCAGCCTGGGATCTAATCGGTGCTGCAGAGGCTGCAGGCAGCTTCGCAACCCAGCGCTCAACCGCTGCGCCACCAGGGAGGCCCAACATTTACAGATTAAGAGTAGTTCAAGAGGTCCTTTTATAGCCTCAATCAGATCATATTACTGTTCTGCTCAAAGACCAGCAGCAATTCCCCATTTTAATCTCACTCAAGCGAGAAGCCAGTCTTAGCCTAAATAATCAGCCTGTCTCTCTTCACCTCCAACTTCTTCCCCCTTATTGTTTTCTCAAACTGTCACTTTTATTTCTTGAATCACAGACTTCACTTCTGCTGCAGACCCATTGCATTTGCCGTTTCCTTTGCCTGGAATGCTTTTCCAGACACTCACAAGGTGTTCTCCTTCACCTCCTTCAGGCCTATTTTAAAAGTCATTCCCTGCCTACCATATTGAAAATATCTCACACAGATTCCTCAACCTGCTAAAGACGGAGCTTCCATATGATCCAGCAATTCCACTCCTAGGTATTTACCCAAATGACACAGAAACATTAATTCCAAAGGGCACCTGCACTCCTATGTTTATAGCAGCACTATTTACATTAGCTAAGCTATGGAAACAACCCAAATGTCCAAAAATAGATGACTGGATCAAGAAGATGTGGTACATATACACAATGGAATATTACTCAGCAATCAAAAAAGATAAACTCATACAATTTGCAGCAATAAGGATGTAGCTGGAAGGGATCATGCCCAGCGAAATAAGCCAGAAAGAAAAAAAAAATACCAGATGGTCTTACTCATAGCAGGAATTTAGAAAACCTAAATAAGGGACCAGGAAAAAGACTAATTATAATAAAGTAAAAATCAAAATCAACAAGCAACTATAAACCAGAGACACACTACAGGGCAGGGAGGAAGGAGGTGGGATCAAACAAGGGGGGGTGGGAATTGTATGGGGACTATAACCAAGATGAAAATGCGTACATTGTGCAAAAATGAAAAATGATGTAAAAAACATATAAAATTGAAAGAAATAATAATAAATGAATAAATTTTTAAAAAAGAAATATGTATTCATGTACATGAAAATATTAGAACAAAGGTAATTTTGGCAGCATTGTGGATATTAAAAAGGTAAAATCATAAAATTAACCAGAGTGTGGGGA